TGGATGGAGCTAGAGAATATTATGTTAAGCAAAATAAGTCAGTCAGAAAAAGACAAATACCATATGGTTTCATTCATATGTGGAACTTAAGAAACAAAACAGATGAACATAGGAGAAGAGAAGGAAAAATAAAGTAAGATAAAGACAGAGAGGGAGGCAAACCATAAGAGACCTTTATATATAGACAACAAACTGAAGTTTGCTGTAGGGAAAGTGGGTTGGGGAATGGGGTAAGTGGGTGATGGGCATTAAGTAGGTCACTTGATGTAATGAGCACTGGGTGTCATATGCAACTGATGAATCACTAAATTATACCCTTGAAGCTAATACTACACTATATGTGAACTGACTTGAATTTAAATAAAATCTTGAAAGAAAAAAAAATAAATGGGTAGAAGATCCAAACAGACATTTTTCCAAATAAGTGATACAGATGGTCAACAGACACATGAAAAGATGCTCAAAATCACTCATCATCAGGGAAATGCAAATCAAAACCAAAATGAGATATCACCTTACACCTGTCAGAATGGCTAAAATCAGAAAGACAATAAATAACAAGTGTTGGTGGGGATGAGGAGAAAAAGTAACCCTTATACACTGCTGGTAGGAATGTAAATTGGAGCATCGAGTGGGAAACAGTATGTAGGTTCCTCAAAAAAATTAAAAATAGAAATATTATATAATCTAATAATTCCATCCCTGGGTATTCACTCAAAGAAAATGTAAACCCTATTTCAAAGAGATATACATACCCCTATGTTTATCATAGCATTATTTACAATAGCCCAGATATGGAAGCAACCTGAGACTCAGAAGGATAAAGAATATGTGTTATGTATCTACAATGAAATATTATGCAGTCATAAAAAAGGATGAGATCATTCCATTTGTGATGACACGGATGAACCTAGAAGGTATTATGCTAAGTGGAAGAAGACTGAGAAAGACAATAGCCATATAATTTCACTTATATGTGGAATGTAAAAAAAATGAACAAAAAGCAGAATCAAACCTATAAATCCAGAGAACTGATGGTTGTCAGAGAGGAGGAGAAACAAGGACAGGCAAAATAGGGGCAGGTGAGTAGGAAATATAGGCTTGCCGTTGAGGAATGAACAAGTCACATGAATAAATTAGGCACAGCATAAGGAATATAGCCAATGATATTATAATTGCATAGTGACAGACAGTAGCTGAACTTGAGGTGAGCACAGCATATTGCATAAACTTGTGGAATCACTATGTTGAAATGTAACATTTTTGTGTCAAATACACTCTAATAAAACAATTTTTAATAAACAAATAAATATATTATTTAAAGTACGTAAACATATGGCTGCTTTATTGTGTTCTAGTATAACCATGCTTGAATATTTACAAAGTGGAATGCGTATTACTTTACTATAAGTTATTTTAATTTTGTCTTAATATTATATTAAGTTATTTTCAAAGATGTATGTACCTAGGTGATACTAAGTTGTGAAATTCACTTCAAGATAGTTAAAGGGGACTTTAAAATATCTTTTATAAAAGATGGTATTGGGTCTGATAAGGTTAAAAAATGAGATCATTGTTGTAACAGTAAGAGGATTTATTTCCCTTTTTAGGAATATTTAATTTGGATAAAATATATCAAAAAAATAAATTCACTTTTTAAGAGAAATCCCAAATGGTTACTACTAGTATAACAAATCACTGCTGGTTTTTGCATGTAATTCTTGCATCTACAATTATTTTATTATTCCTATAGTTTGTTGATTCTCCTGAATTTTTTTTGTAGACAATTATATTTTCTTTCTTGTTTTCAGTTCTTATAGCTCATCTCTTGTTTTATTGCTTTTGTTAGAACATTCAGTACAATGTATGAATGAATAGAATAGAATGTATTAGTGAATAGAAATCATGATATCAGTCTTCGTTGTCTTCTTCCTAACTTGAGAATGCATGTAGAGTCTAAATTACCATGTCAGCAATAGTTTTGTTTTTTGTAATTAACTTTTATAAAGTTAAAGAAATTTTTTTATATTAGGCCTTTGGTAAAAGTTTAAAAATTAATAAATACTAAGTTTTGTTAAAATCAAATTTGCTAAAATGATCATATGACTTCATTCCTATAATCTCTTAATGTGGTGAATTATAATATTGCTAACAATTCAGATATTGAACATTTCTTACATTTCTGTGATAACCCTTATTTGGTCATGACTTAGCTATCTTGTTTGAAGTGCATAGGTTATTCAATTTTCTAATGTCTTCTTTAGCAATTTTATAACTGTGTTCTTTTTTTTTTAAGATTTTATTAATTTATTTGAAAGAGAGAGAGAGAGGGCACATGAACAAGGGTGAGGGAAAGGCAGAAGAAAGGGGAAGGGGAGAAGCCGACTCCCTACTAAGCAAGGAGCCCGATACACGGCTCTATCCCAGGACCCTGGCATCATGACCTGAGCCAAAGGCAGCCACTTAAATGACTGAGCCACCTACGTGCCACTCAATTTTTTTTTAAAGAACATTTTTGAGGCTATAAATTTCCCTGTAAATATCATTTTGGTTGCATCCTCAAAATACTGAGATATATTATTTTTGATATTACTTAATTGTGAATATTTTATAATTTCCTTATAGTTTCCTTTTAACATGTAAATTATTAGGCATGTGCTTTGAAGTTTGCAAGCATGTATTTTAAAATAATTTTTGTTGTTTATATTTGCATTGTATTATAATCCTATAATATGATCAATAAAATGTGAATTCTTTGAAATAATTTTATTTCCTTTTTTCTCAATAGGAAGAAATTTCTAAAATGTTTTATATATGCCTTAAAAGAATGTCTGCTTCACACTTTGGATTGTAGAATTCTATATTTACTATTAGAATAGGTATGTTAATTATGTAGTTCAAGGCTTTTATACCCTTATTAAATTTTGTCTGCTTGGTTACGGATGGATTAAATATTTCATTATGACAGAGACTTGTAAATAACTCCTTCATCTATCAATTTTTATCATAAATATATATACACACACACATATAGCTACACACTTTAATATATATGCACATAAATGGTGAAGATATATAATTATGGGCATATAAATTTGTAATTCTTTATCCTCCTGGTGAATGGGAACTTTTGTCATTATTTGGCCAGTCAAGAAATCAGACACTCCAATTTTACCTCTTAAGGTAGGAAGATTAGCACTAACGACATTAGTAACTAGAAGTTCAAAAGACCTTTCCTGGTCCCTATGTAATTCATAGTTTCACTTTCTCTGCCACCCAGACTTGGCTCCTTCCTTCTTTAGTTCTGTTATTTGGCTAGAGCTAGAGTCAATCCTTCCTAGCTGCTTTCTCTGTTATTATTAACACAGTGAGATTAGCTTTAAATAAACAGAAAGTCCCATTCTCCCCCTAAGAGTATAAACCTGTATGCTTTTATTAAAAAGCATTTATTGAGCATCTACTATGTATCAGGGACTGTGCTAAACATAATTGGTGTCTTCCTGGAGCTTATACTTTAGAAGAAATTAAATCACACTAAAGATAAACCTTTATAATGATGACATTTGATATAAACAAGATATTGCTCTGAAGTTCTACAAAAAGGGGGATTTGACCTTGTCAGGAAGGTGTCCTTGATAAAGTATGCCTTGAATTGTAATTTAAAGGAGAAAAAGCTAACTACATGAAAGGAAGGAAGTGTTTCTTCCTGAATGAATAGCAGTGTATAAGGGCTCTGAAGTGGGTGAAAGTGTTTGAGTACCATGGCAAAAATTAGGTAAACATTGCTAGAACAGAAAGAGCAAGACCATTATAGTAAGATGTTTTGTCTCTGTCATAAAAAAAATTACACACGACCCTTGAACAATGTGAGGGGGATTTAGGGGAGCAGACCTTCTATGGTAAAAAATTTGTCTAAAACTTTGACCCCACAAAAACTTAACTACTAATAACCTACTGTTGACCAGAGGCCTTACTGATAAGAGAAACAGTCAATTAACACATATTTTACATGTTATATGTATTACATATACATGTTCTTAATAACATTAAGAAAATCATAAGGAAAAGAAAATACACTTGTAGTACTAAAAAAAGTCTATTGAAAAAAAAATCCATGTATAAGTGGATATGCACCATTTAAACATGTATTGCTTGAGGGTCAACTGTACTAGCTATTGAAAAGTTTAAAGCAGGAGGGGTGAAAATTATATCTTAATTATGGAAAGATCAAAATGGCAGCAAGGTACATAATGGAACAAAAAAGAGCTTGACTAGATAAGGGGAAAACCAGTTAGAAAGTCACTGCAGAGTTAAAAGCAAGGAATAACAACAAATGGAGCTAGAGTGATAGTGGAGATGCAGAGAAGTAGATGAATTTGAGAAACAGTAAGGAGGTAAAATAAACAGGACTTGATGAAGGACTGACTACACTATTAAAAAGGATTGGAAGTAAATCCTTGCATATAATTAGGCTTCTGGATTATATCATTAGATGCATCCTCCTTTCACTAAGAGGAAACACAGTAAGCTAATGATTATGAGCTGGTTTTGAATAAGGTGAATTTGGGATGCCCTTACTAAAAGATGGTGTTGGACCTACCTGTTTCCAGAGCTCAGAGTCTGGGTCAGAGATGCAAATTTACAAGTACTAATACATCAGAAATATGGAAGAGATTATTTAGGGAAAGAATGTAGAGTAAAAAGAAAAAAGACCTAGAATTAAGGCTTGAGAACTCCAGCTTCTAATGACTAAGTAAAAGATTCTAAATTGGCAAAGGAGAAAGAGAAATGTATCTAGAGAGACGGGAGAAAAACCAATAAGACATTATGTCACAGAGTGAAAAGAAAAGGAATGACTCAACAAAAAGGTAATGGTTAATCATAGTATCAAATGAATAAAATAAGAGTTTTTTTCTCTTAACCCAAATTTTAGGTCATAATCACTATGGCTCCACTGTGAATTCTTACTTTTTCAATTACTCATGTTTATATATACTTACTTAAAGTATTCATCAGAAGGCCACTATTGTCATGAAGTCTATTCTGGCCAGCATCCATATCAGAAATCCTGCCATGTGGCATGGCAGACATGGCAGGATGTCCTGAGATATAATTCCCTGGCTCAGAAGGAGAGGATGTGCACTGTTCATCATCTGAGTCACTGGAACTATCCTCACTACTTGAAGATGATGAATTTTTGGAATCCGATGAACTATCACAACTACTCATTTGGTCCATTAGACTAGCTTCTGCCTTCAGTTCTGAAAATAAAACAGAAATTAATAGATAGGTTAAATAAATAATATTAAACATGAATATTAAATAAGTAACATAAAATTTGAATGTGTTAGCTTCTAAGAAACCGTTGAGGAATAAATGAGATTAAACAAACATTTACAGCATTTTAAGCATTTTATTTAAAAAGCTCCTCTACCATTAAAAAACACAGGCATTTCACTCAGCGAAAGAAGTCAAGCAGAGAGTCAATTATCATATGTTCTAACTCACTTGTGGAGTATAAGGAATAACACAGAGGATACTGGGAGATGGAGAGGAGAAGTGAGTTGGGGGAAATCGGAGGGGCAGACAATCCATGAGAGACTGTGGACTCTGAGAAACAAACTGAGGGTTTTGGAGGGGGAGAGGGTGGGGGGTGGGGTAAGCCTGGTGGTGGGTATTATGGAGGGCACGTATCATATGGAACACTGGGTGTGGTGCATAAACAATGAATTTTAGAACACTGAAAAAAAATTAAATTAAAAAAAAAGACATAGACAATGCCAAATCTAAATGCTACACTTATACCATTATACTTAATTAAATATATTTGTAATTTAAGTAAAGAATGTGAAAAATTAAAACTGTAAAAATTAAAATCTATTTTGGCAGAAACTACCCTCCAAATCCTCTTATTCTCCCAATATGTATAAGGAAACAGTACATACAGATGGATTTCTTTTTTTTTTCTAGCTGTTCTGACCTATAGCTGACAAAACCGTATATTTAAAGTGTACGACAGCCTCCCCAGCCCCAGTGTAAAAAGGAGTTTGGCCTGAGAAAACACTTTGCCTTGAACCAAGAATCTGGACATTCAGTGTGAGCAGTTGGGTGATGCTGAGTGGAGGGAGCTCCTGCCTCTGATCCAACAGTTCAAGGTGGTCAGGCTGGATGACAGGGGTCTCACAGAGCTGTGTTGCAAGGATGTCAGCTGTGCTCTCTGGGCCAATCCCTCCCTGACTGAGCTTAGGCTGTGCACCAAAAGAGCTGGGTGATGCTGGTATGCACCTGGTGCTCCAGGGCCTGTAGAGCCCCACCTGCAAGATGCAGAATTGCTGCCTGATGGAGGCTGGCTGTGGGGTCCTGTCCTGTGTGCAGCACTTGGTGCCCATCCTTCACCAACTGCACTTCACTGATAATTTGTTGGCGGATGCAGGCCTGCAGCTATTCCGCAAAGGTCTCTTGGACTCCCAGTGTTGCTGTGAGGTCCTTCAGCTAGAGTACTGCAACCTGATAGCTGCTAGTTTTGAGCCCCTAGCTGTGGTGTTCAAAGGCCAAGCAGCATTCCAAGGAGTTCATGGTGAGCAACGATGACATCTGTGAGGCTGGCGTCTGAGCGCTATACAACGGCCTGGTGGACTCTACCTGCCACCAGTTTGAGATGCTCTAGCTGGAGAACTGTGGCCTCATATGGGCCAATGGGAAGAACCTGTGTGGTATTGTAACCTCCAAGGACTCACTGCAGGCGCTGGACCTGGGTGACAAGCTGGGTGACCTGGGCATTGCCGAGCTATGTCCCAGAATGCTACACCACAGATCCTGACTCAGGGCCCTGTGGCTCTGGGACTGTGACCTCACCACCAGGGGCTGTAGAGACCTGTGCCATGTCCTTAGGGCCAAGGAGAGCCTGAAGAGTTGAGCCTGGTGGGCAAAGTCCTGTAGCTTACAGCCGTCTGCTGCCACCACTTCAGCACGACATTGACCCAAAACAGTTCTGGTGATGCTGCCAATGAGCAACAACAAGCTGGGGGATTCTGGAGTTCAGGAACTCTGCAATGGTCTGCACCATCTCAGCACCACACTGTGAGTGCCCTGGCTCAGGGAATGCGACACGATAGACAGTGGCTGTCAAAGCCTGGCCTTGCTCCTGCTGGCCATCCACAGCCTGCACAAGCAGCACTTCAGGCAATAATGACATGCTCTGGAATAATACGACATCTACTGGATGGAGACAGGATTGCCTGTAGGTCCGAGAAGGGCTCAAGCTGAGCCTGAGGCCCATCTCCTGAGTAGCCTCCAGCCCCAGCTTCTGAAACCTGCTCTTCTGATAGGCCCTACCTGGGACCCCGCAGGGGACTGGCTGCTCCTAGGGGCTTTTACTCTAGTGTCCTAGCTTTGACTGAAGAAAAACACTAAAATCAACTGATTTCTGTGAGAAAATTTTAGACATAATTATTAAAGCACTTTTTTTTTGGCAAGAGGAAAAAAACCAAATGTACAACTTAATGCTTTGATATACATTATTCATCACCTCATAGTTTCCATTTGTGTGTGTGTGTGTGTGTGAGAGAGAGAGAGAGAGAGAGAGAGAGAGTGAGTGATGGGAACACCTAAGATCTGCTCTCTTAGAAAATTTAGACACCATACTACTGGCATAAAAATAGACACATAGATCAATAGAACAGAATAGAAAACCCAGAAAAGAACTCACAACTTTGACAAGGCAGGAGAGAATATCCAGTGGGAAAAAGTCTCTTCAACAAATAGCATTGGGGAAATTAGGCAGCAACATGCAAAAGGATGAAACTGGACCACTCTTTTACACCATACACAAAAATAAATGTAAAATGGATTAAAGACCTAACTGTGAGACATGAAACCATTAAAATCCAAGAGGAAAACACAGGTAGTAACCTCTTTGACATCAGCCACAGTAACTGCTTACTAGATATGTCTCATGAGGCAAGGAAACAAAAGCAAAAATAAACTATTAGGACTTCATCAAAATAAAGAGTTTCCGTACAGCAAAGAAAACAACAAAACTAAAAGGCAACCTTCAGAATGGGAGAAGATATTTGCAAATGTCATATCTGACAAGGGGTAGGTATAAAAAATATATAAAAAACTTATCAAACTTGACACCAAAAAACACAAATAATCTGATTAAATAATGGGCAGAAGACATGAATAGACATTTTTCCAATGAAGACAGATGGCTAATAGTCACATGTTATGGAAACAGCCCAAATGTCCATGGGCTGATGAATGGATAAAGAAGATGTGGGATTTGTATATATATATATTATATATATAAACTTTATATATAAATATATATTTAATATATACACACATAAATCCTCCAATGGAATATTACTCAGCCATAAAAAAGAATGAAATCTTGTCATTTGTAACAACATGGATAGAGCTAGAGAGAATTATGCTAAGTGAAATAAGTCAGTCAGAGAGACAAATACCATAGGATTTCACTCATGTGGAATTTAAGAAATGAACAAATAAACATAGGGGGAAAAAAGAGAGGCAAACCAAGAAACATACACTTAACTGTACAAAATAAACGGAGGGTTGCTGGATGGGAGACTGGGGGGGATGGGGTAAATAGGTGATGGAGATTAAGGAATGCACATGTTGTGATGAACAATGGGTGGTGTATGTGAGTGGTGAATCACTAATTTGTATATCTGAAACTAATATTACACTGTTAACTAACTAGAATTTAAATAAAATCTTTAAAAAATTTAGAGGTGGTGGGTATTAAGGAGGGTGCATATTGTATAGAGCACTGGGTGTTATACACAAACAATGAATAATGAAACACTACATCAAAAACTAATGATGTATGTGGAGAATGGGGAACCCTCCTACAGTGCTGGTGGGAATGCAAGCTGGTGCAACCACTCTGGAAAACAGCATGGAGGTTCCTCAAAAAGTTGAAAATAGAGCTACCCTATGACCCAGCAATTGCACTACTGGGTATTTACCCTAAAGATACAAACGTAGTGATCCAAAGGGGCACGTGTACCTGAATGTTTATAGCAGCAATGTCCACAATAGCCAAACTATGGGAAGAACCTAGATGTCCATCAACAGGTGAATGGATAAAGAAGAGATGGTATATATATACAATGGAATACTATGCAGCCATCAAAAGAAATGAAATCTTGCCTTTTGCGACCACGTGGATGGAACTAGAGTGTATTATGCTTAGCGAAAGAAGCCAATCAGAGAAAGACAATTATCATACGATCTCCCTGATATGAGGATGTGGAGAGGCAATGTGGAGGATTTGGGGGGTAGGAAAAGAATAAATGAAACAAGATGGGATCAGGAGGGAGACAAACCATAAGAGACTCTTAATCTCTCAAAACAAACTGAGGGTTGCCGGGGGGAGGGAGGTGGGGAGAGGGTGGTTGGGTTATGGACATTGGGGAAGGTATGTGCTATGGTGAGTGCTGTGAAGTGTGTAAACCTGGCGATTCACAGACTAGTACCCTGGGGCTAATAATACATTATATGTTAATAAAAAAAAATTAAAAGAAAAAAATAAAGATTTCTAAACAGGGGGAAAAAAAACTAATGATGTATTGTATGGTGACTAACACAACACAATAAAAAAAATTTAGACACCATAGTGTATATTAGATCCCCAGAACTTATTCATCTTATAACTCAAAGTTTTTACCCTTTGACCAATATCTCCTCTTTTTCCCTACCCCTACAGTCCCTGGCAACCACCCTCCTACACGGTATCTATGAGTGTAACTTTTTTAGATTGCTTCCACATGTGATCAAATAATATTTACCTTTCTCTGTGTAGGTTATTTCACTTATTTCTCTTTCCGATAGTTTGTTAGTATATGGAAATGTAACTGCTTTTTGTATATTGATTTTGTATCCTGCAACTTTACTGAATTCACTTATTCTAACAGTTTTTTGGTGGAGTCTTTAGGGTTTTTTAGGCATAAGCTCATGTCATCTGTAGAAACAAATTTATTTCCTCTTTCCAATTTAGATCCATTTCTTTCTTTTTCTTGCCCAATTGCTCTGGCTAGGATTTTAGTACTATGCAGAATAGAAGTAAAGAGAATGTCTTTTCTTTTCTTTTCTTTTTTGATTTCTTTTTTTTTATTATGTTATGTTAGTCATCATACAGTACATCATTAGTTTTTGATGTAGTGTTTCATGGTTCACTGTTTACATATAACACCCAGTGCTCTATGCAATACATGCCCTCCTTAATATGCATCACTGGACTCAACCTATCCCCCACCCCAGAACCCTGAGTTTGATTCCCGGAGTCCATAGTCTCTCATGGTTTGTCTTCGCATGTGATTTTCCCCACTTACTGCAAGTTGGTACAGCCACTTTGAAAAACAATGTGGAGGTTCCTTAAAAAGTTAAAAATAGAGCTACCCTATGACCCAGCAATTGTACACTGGGTATTTACCCCAAAGATTAAAAAAAAAGGGGGCATATATACCCCAATGTTCATAGCAGCAATGTCCACAATAGCCAAACTGTGGAAGGAGCTGAGATGCCTTTCTCTAGATGAATGAATAAAGATGATGAGAGTGTCTTGTCTTATTCCTGATCTTAGAAGAAAACTTTCAGCTTTTCGCTGTTGAGTATGATAGCTGTGGGCTTCTCATATATGGCCTTTATTATGTAGATCTATATTTATTCTATATCTAATTCATTGAGAGTTTTTAAGGTGAAAGTGTTGAATTTTGTCAAGTGCTTTTTTGCATCTACTGAGATATGATTTTCAGAGAAAATCATTCTGTTAACATGATATATCACATCTATTGATTTGCATATGTTGAAATATCCTTGCATCCCTAGCATAAATCCCATTTGATGATGGTGTATGATCCATCTAACATGCTATTGAATCTGGTTTGCTAGTATTTTGTTGAGGACTTTTCCACCTGCGTTCATCTGGGATATTGGTCTATAATTTTTTTAGTGTCCTCTGGCTTTTGGTATCAAATACTGGCTTTGTAAAATTAATTTGAAAGCGTTTCCTCCTCTTCATTTTGCTGGAATAGCTTGAGAAGATCTGGCATTAATTCTTCTTTAAACATTTGGTAGATTTCACCAGTAAAGCCATCTATATGGACGTGGGCTTTTCTTTGCTAGGAGATTTTTGATTACTGATTTAATCTCCTTACTTATTATTGGTTTTTTCAGATTTTCTCTTTCTTCATGATTCAGTCTTGGTAGGTTGTCTCTTTCTAGGAATTTATCCATTTCTTCTAGGTTATACAACTTGTTGGCATATAATCTTTCAGTCTCTTGTGAATGTATTTCTGTAGTATCAGTTATAATGTCTCTTTCATTTCTCTTTTTTTCTTCATTAGTTAAAAGTTGGTTAATCTTTTTAAAAAACCAAATCAGCTTCATTCATCTTTTCTATTGTTTTTGTAGTCTATTTCTCTTATTTCAATTCTGAATAATTTTTGTTATTTCCTTCCTTATACTGAATTTTGGCTTAGCTTGCTCTTTTTCTAGTCCCTTGAGGTTATAAAGTTAGGTTATTTGAGATCTTAATTTTTTCTTAATGTAGGCATTTATTCCTATAAATTTCTTTCTTGAACAGCTTTTGCTGTATCCTATAAGTTCTGGTATATTGCCCTTCCATTTCATATATTTCAAGATTTTTAAAAATTTAATTTAATTTTTTCAGTGTTCTAAGATTCATTGTTTATGCACCACACCCAGTGGTCTGTGCAATATGTGCCCTCCATAATACCCACAACCAGGCTCACCCATCCACCCACACCCCTCCCCTCCAAAACCCTCAGTTTGTTTCTTAAAGTCCACAGTCTCTTATGGTTTGTCTCCCCCTCCGATTTCCCCCAATTTGCTTTTCCTTTAAAATTTCTCTTCTGATTTCTTCTTCGACCCATTGGTTGTTCAGGTGCATGTTGTTTAATTTCCACAAATTTGTGAATTTCCCCATTTTCTTCCCATTGTTGATATTAATTTCAAACCACTGTGATTGGAAAAGATACTTAATATGATTTCAGTCTCCTTAAACTCATTAAGACTTGCTTTGTGACCTAACATATGTTGTATCATGGAGAATGTTCAGCATATATTTGAGAGGAATGTGTATTCTGCTGCTATTGGATAGCATGTTTTATACAAATATGTTAGGTCTATCTGGTCTAAAGTCTAGTTCAAATCCAATATTTTCTTATTGATTTTCTTGATGTCTTGATGATGTATCTATTGTTGAATGATATGTTGATGATGTATCTATTGTTGAAAGTGAGGGTATTGAAGTCCCCTACTATTTTTGCATTGCTAACTCTATTTCTTCCCAGATCTATAAATGTGTAATATTATTAGGGTGCTCCAATATTGGATGCATGGGTGCATATACATTTTCAACTGAAATGATCCCTTTATCATTATCTAATGACCTTCTTTGTCTCTTGTGTTTCCATGACTGAAATCTTAATAATTTCTTACAAGGGGCATTATACACATTTAGATTTTACCTCTTTCAATATCATCCATGGGAGATGCTGGGGACATTTTGTCTTCAGATGGAGAATGTTTCACAAGATTGGGAGTCCTAGCTGAATTTCGCATTTGTTGCTGCTGTTGTTCTATACGATACTGAATTTTACTACTTCCTTCAACTCTGGAATTAAGAATATCAAAGCTCAATACAAGGATGATAGAAATTTAACAACCACAACTTACAAAGTTACTAGAATTAACCACATATTCTTTTCCCTAAAGATCCTTAAAATGACATTCAAAAATTAAAACATTAGTTTAGTTCATTATTTAACAACTATTTATTGGGCCCTGCTGTATGCATGACATACACACAGATCCAGTGGGGGATACAAATGTAAATAAAAAACAAGATAACTACTCAAAATTGAAAAAATAAGATATACACAAATTACAAAGATAAACAGAATATATACATAAGTATATAACAAATACAACATATCCCCTAAATTCTAAAATTATCATTTCTGTTAAAATCAATTCACTTTCACATTTTTCATTCCCAACTTTAAGACATGTTACTAAAGGAGATTCATACACTTTCTTTTGAATATTTTTAAGAGAAAAGTATATAATACAGTTATGCTTGACTTCTGTATCTTCCATTTCCAGTCATCAAATCCTATCAGTTCTACCTTCACAGAGTATTTAGAACCTCGCTATTCTCTTCATTCCCACTTTCAAAAATCATGGTTTATATATTTTTCTGTTTACCACATTGTTTCATTCTACCCAACTTGTTTGGTGGATTAATGTTTCAAAAAAATGTAAGCAAGTCAATCTCCTTATACCAGGGCACAGAAACAAATGTCTGCTCTATTCAAACAGGTCTTACTCACTGGCTCCAAATAAGTCAGATATATTTCTGCCTTTAAGCTTTGCCTAAAACTTCATGTTCTCTCTGATCAATTAAATATTTTCTAACCTTTCCTACTAATAAAAATTACTGGGGCAGGGAGGGGATAATAAAAATAGAGCTTCCCAGGGTCCTTCTTTGATCTGAAGTTGGATTTGGGAACTCATATTTAATAAGAACCCATATTAATTCTTATCATAAAGTATATTGGGGTGGTTTTTTAAATAAAGTTTTTATTTAAATTCTAGTTAGTTAACATACAGTATAATATTAGTTACAGGTGTAGAATTTAGTGATTCACCACTTATATACAACATTCAGTGCTTATCACAAGTGCCCTCCTTAATTCCCACCACCCATTTAATCCTTCCTTCCACCCACCTCCTGTGTGGTAACCATCAGTTTGTTCTTTATGACTAAGGGTATGTTTCTTGGTTGTCCCTCTCTCTTTTTTTCACCTATGATTGTTTTGTTTCTTAAATTCTACATATGAATGAAATCATATGTTATTTGTCTCTCTCTGACTGACTATTTCACTTAGCATAACACTCTCCAGCTCCATCCAGGTCGCTGCAAATGGCAAGATTTCATTCTTTCTTATGGTTGGGTAATATTCCATTGTGTATATACATATACCACATCTTCTTTAGCTATTCATCAATTGGTGGACATTTGGGCTGTTTTCATATTTTGGCTATTTGTTGATAATGCTGCTATAAACATCAGGGTGCATGTAACCCTTCGAATTCTTAACCTCTCAAGACATCAGTAAGGACTCCCTAAATGCTCTAATAAATGATAACTTCTCCATTCCCTTAAGTCCTAGAACAATTTTTGTCTATGCTATTTTTATGGCTTTTAGTGTAGGTCCCTTATATTGCATGATAATGCACCACATGTTTACAAACAAGAATTTGAGATGGCTATCTTCTTACTGGCTTTTTAAATAGCATTATCTGTTAATCCAGTTAAAATGCAGACATTTTGAGGTTAGTATTTGTATAAGAAATTGTTCTTTTCCTAGTGCCTTACATGTTCTAGGTGCTTAATAAATTTTTACTAGTGAAGATGAAATTATTTTGCAAAGTGTATAATGGCTCTTTTCAGTCCAATTCTATGAAAACACTTATAATAAAATAAATGTAGACCTCCACATACAGAAAACATTCAGAAACAAAAAAGCTTTTATATGTCATAGAAGAAGGGGTAAGTCTTTGGCTAAGGATCTCTACCAAATTTAAACTTGGAAAAAGATTAAAACATTTCTGTACCATGCAGAAATAATCCTTGCATAATAATGTAACTTGGTCCAATAATTTCTTTCATTGACATTTCCTTAGCAATTTATTTGTTGATAAAGTAATTTATTTCATTAACCACATACCTTGTTTTTTTTACAGTGATGTTACTGCTGAGTTTTTCTAGTCGACATTCTCCAGTGTCATGGTTAATAATTAGAATGCATTCTTTTAAGTAAGGTTTCTTTGAACCTTTGAAAACAGTTACTGGTGGAGTTGAACCCTGTTTAAAAAGTTAATTATCATTACTTGAAATTTATCACAGAAATTCAGTTGGGAGAGCCTTTTAAATCTTCTGTATTTCTCAATCTATGTTATACCTCAAGTCATCTAACTTTCTAAGTCCATTAGTTGGACAACAAGGATTCATAGTAAAAAAGACAGAGATGAAGCAAAGCTGAGGTCTCAAACCTGCTATCATTGAGGAAAGGGAATAGAAGAAGTACTTGTCCTAAGTCATTAAAGATTTGTTTCATTGGTCTACAACAGGCAATTGGGATTCAATTTTAAAGCAACCAATACTTTTTACAAATAAAGGAACAGAAGCCCTGAATTGTATTTCCTATCCATTCTCTTCTTCCTGTATAAGCTTAGTTTTTCAAATGTGATATTTTCTTAAAATGGCGCTTACCTACGCAGATTACCTGTTAGGCTAAACCTCACTATTAATTTTAGCATCATTAAGACTGGGACAACTGGATACACTTCATGATGCAATATAAAAGTAAACAGTATCACCTATAAAGTATTCTTGCCTAAACACACACACACACACACACACACACACACACACACACACAATCTCTCATTAAACCTTTAGATATAACTATCAGTTTACAGCAAATACAAGGAATAGCGGAAGAAATGAGTAGGATACCCCTAAAGAGCAATTCAAGGACTCAAATTATAGTTAATAAGAGATTTGTGCAATGTTCTTCTTTACGATATTTGTATTCCTACTTAGGATAGATCTTAAAATTATAATACATTATTGCACGTTGAGTTCCTGAACATTAAAGGACTGGATTATGATTTCTTTTCTTGCTCCTAGCACCTGAAGTACCAAGCCCTTCACAAATACTAAATGGATATTGAATATGAACAATCTGAACATTTTGATCCTAAGTAACAAGTTAAATAAAGTTTTCATAGTCTCTATACCTGTCTTCCACACTTTGAACAAGTTTTTAGAAAGCAAAACTTTTTTATTAAATTGAGCACCATTCCTATCTTAAACTTTAATTACTGCCTATTCCCTTATTCTATACCCCAAGAAAAGAGTATTAAAGTATTAAATTACCAAGAAACTCCCAAGCATATGAGCTGTCTTTGCCTCTAAATTAACTATTGTCAGCAAATGAAATTTAAATCAGAGGCAGCCTGAAAGATAAGGACTCAGCCACCACAGAACTGGGGGTGGGGGGCTTCAGGAAAAGGAAACAGCAAGTGCAAAAGATCTGAGGCCAGAAAGATGAAGGGAGAGCAAAGGGCTGTGGGAAAGGGAGATGAGCTTGGGCAGATGGATGAGTGTTAGATCCTGCAGGGTCTTGCTGGCTCTGGGGAGGGTTTGAGATTTTTTTTTTTTTTTCTGTACGTCATAAGAAGCATTTGCAGAAGAATGACCATTCATTCATTCATTTATAGCATGCAAGAGTACACACAAGCAGGGGGAGGGGCAAAGAGAGAAGAAGAAAGAGAATCCTAAGCAGGCTTCATGTCCAGCATGGAGCCCAACGTGGGACTGGATCTCAGGACCCTGAGATCATGACCTAAGCCAAAATCAAAAGTCCGAGGCTCAACCAAATGAACCACCCAGGTGTCCTCAGAATTAACCTTTTAAAAAGACTGCCTTGTATAAATATATGTGAACATCTACAAAGTACTATACACTGTTCCAAGTGTTCTATATGTACAACATTAAACTCATTCACTCCTCAAAAACGAACCAACCAACAAACAAAAAAATTACTGAATACATCCAATCATCTCCATATTTACTACTATTACGCAACTTCATAATGCAATCATCATCTCACCTCGGTTCCTATTCTCCTCCCTACTGTCCTTTCAGTTTTGTCCCCCATCTGCTGACAGGGAAATCTGATCATGCCTGACTATGAATACCAGGAAAGGAAATTAATCAGTAATGGAAGGGAAAAGTACAATTGTACTCCCAAATAGGAGGAGGGAAAAAGAAAGAAGAGATGGTTAATGAAACTAATTTAAAAAATGAGGGAAAAACTAAAATAACTAATAAACATACCAAAGATGATAGATGTAAAAATCAGGCACATCAGCTTTGCACTAAATGAGGATAGAATTCTTTTAATAAAAACAGGAAGTGTCAAACTCGGTTTAAAAATGAAACAGAATAGGACACCTGGGTGGCTCAGTCTGTTGAGCACCTGACTCTTGGTTTTGACTAAAGTCATGACCTCAGGTCATGATCTCAGATTGTGAGATTGAACCCCGCTTCATGCTCCATGCTTAGTGTGGAGTCTTCTTGGGATTCTCTCTCTCCTTCCCCTTCTACCCCTACCCCTACTCACGTGCTCTTTCTCTCTTTCTCAAAAATAAATTCATAAAAAAAGAAACAATATTCTGTTAACAAAAGATATATTTAAAACAAAATGTCAGCTGAATTTAAAAAAACAGACACTGAGATTCCATGAACATACAAATCAAAAGAAAGGGTGCAATATTACTATTAGACAAGGTACTAAGATTAAAATCACAAAAACAGGATTAAAAAATATATACGGTAAAAGATACAATTCATTAAAAAATATAATTACAATAGGATGTTAAAAAAGAACCAGTCCTAAAAGAAGCTGAGGTCCCAAGAATGTGGTGGGCTAACTTCTCATTTGAGCTAAATACTCAGTGGACAGAATCAAACAGTTCATCCTGGAAGGGACATTGCCAAAGAGGGTGGCTTAGAGTGGCATAGTAGCACATCTGACATATAGAATTTCCACAAGTCAACATTTGGGGGCTAAAGTCAAAAGCAGCCATTAGAGATGCATTTCCTGCATAATAGGAAGTGTAGTTTGGAAGTTTGAAGTGGACTATTTCAATGAGTCCCACAAAAGTACTCCTCAAGATAGAGACAACACTAAAGAATGCCAAACTTGGACAGCACCAATGACAAATCATTATAGTTAGGTCTTTTCCCCTCAAAATTTAACATTTTGAAATTTTATAATAGCCAAATATAGAGAATTATTTGTAAGGAAGAGAGATTTGTAAATGCCCAATATTAATTAGCTTTATAGTCTTCATTTTTATTAGGTTCTTCTACTCGGCATTAACAAAGGAAATCCAGAGGAATGAAAATAAGAAAATCTACCCTATGAAGGAATGGCCAGAAACTGAAGGTACTCTTGAAAGTATAGTATAATGAAAGTTCCATTTTATAGGATGACTTCTAGCTTCTAGTCATTTTTACCCAGATGATGAAAGCAAGTTCACAGAGAAAATAGGGAATCTAAATGCCCCAACCAACATTCATTACATTTCCATAAACTTAAGAACTCTGAAGAAATGTTAAACCTCCTACTAGTTTAAAGAAATTCTTAAGGGAAGAAAACCACAAAATGTTTTTGAGAATGTAATTTCTACTCTTATTCACAATTGTTCTAGGACTGTATGGCCAGCAGAAAAAAATATTTGCTTTCTACAGGTGGTAATTTTAACTATTCTCTTTTATTTCAGCTGTCTAAAAGGGCTATAGAATGAACTTAAAATTCTTTTGCATTACACATTAAACACTTTTTTATTTGAGTCCTAAATGCCTTTCCATCTCCCACTATGTTCCTAGTGGACTCCATCTGATCTAGCCAGAGTGGCTTATACGTAGTTCTTCAAACATAACAGACTTTTTTGTTGCCTTGTCTTAACCCATGTCTTTTTCTTTTCTCTGCCTAAAATGTCTTCCCTCTTTCCTTTACCTGGGTAACTTCTACTCTTCTTCAAGACAGGACACCCTGGCATCTCTTCTTCCTCTGCTGAGTTTTCTTCTACACTTCTGTAATATTCTGCCTCTGTGACAGTCCTTACATTTCAATATTTTAATCAGTTATTTCCTGTCTTTCTCATTAAATGTAATATTTTTCAGGACACTGACCATGTCTAGTTTTCTGCTGTTCCCAATAGCTACTTAGCACAGGAGTTGCCACACAGAAGGTATGTGCAAATATGGCCCATCTGCCCTCCGTTTCTTTCTCAGGCATACATACATGCACACAAATATTGAGACATATTCTTTTTGAATATATCTCTAGTGGACTGGTGAGGGGTATTACTTCTTCCCAAATTATTTCTTTGCTCTTTTAGAAATTTACAGTGTGAAGGTTTGAAAACTTCCCTCTATACTTGTCATTCTCTAAAGAGATATCTCGATTGAGATCATAACCAAAAACATGGTGGATGGTAACTCTTGCTTAAAGAAGGATATGTGTGAATGAGAAAGTTTCATTAATAAATGTAAGAACCCCCATCTGCTTGTAAGAGCAAAGCAGTGCAAGGAATGGGGATGGAAGGATTGTTAATTTGAGGGGAAAAAATCTACATGGCAAAGAAGAAACCAGTTAAAGTTTTTTTTTTCCACAAACCAATCATCACTGATCAATAATCCTATGACCTGAGATCAGGCTAGTGGTACCAGTTATCAACTTAAGGTTTTTCAATAACTTTTAGAATTAAGGGGATAGTTTAGGTTTTTCTTTAATAAACATCATAAAGCAAAATGGCCTTTGACTTATGGGTACAAAATTTCCAAACTATTTAGAGATGCCAGCTTTTCATAACAGAATAAGGCAAAAGTTTATTCATCCACATATCTCACACTGAATTGGTTGTTCATTTCCTTCAGTTTGTAAGGGAGCAAATGAGAAGTCTTTCCACAAATTTAATTAACCTTAGGAATTCTTTCAGAGGCAGCAACTGATACAGTCTGACATAATAGTGGGGTCTCAATAAATAGTGTTGGCTGATAAAAAATAAGAAGACTAGAAGACTAGAGGATAGAGAGCTTGCTCGCTCTATCTCCAATCACAACAAATCATCTCATAAATGCAAACAAGAATGTCGATGAATTAGCACAAAATAATTTCTGTTAAAAAATTCAACAAAACAGAGAAAAAATATCAGTCCAGTGCTTTCTCTGTAGGTTAAAATATAAAGTTACAGTCTTCGTGTTCTCTGAGAATAGCTCAAGTCAGTATAAAAGAAAAAAAAGAAACAAGTTGAATGCAAAGACATTTCTAACTCAAAAACTGAGAAAACTAGAGCAACACTTAATTTGTCTATTTATGTAAATAGTATTTGGAAACATCTGGAAATTTTTTAAATGGACAAAACTTTGGCTAAAGCCTCCGTGACCTAGTGTCTTTTTTTCTAACACATTCCCCAAACTATTGCTAAAATCACTCTAAAAGCAAAAATCTAATCATGTTACTACTTTCCTCAGAAATCTCTAATGGTACTCTAATACCTATGGAATAAAGTCGAAATTCTACATTAGAAGATGATACATTTTTCACCGTCTGATCCCAAATCATCTTTCCAGAGACTACTTCTATCAATCATTTTTCATAATTCTGTTATTTATTTACTACATTAATTCATTTATTCCACAAACTTCTTGTTCTTTCTCTATTAGAGCCATTTATATACTGTTCCTTCTGCCTAGAATAGTCTACTCCCTTTCTGCCTGATGAAATTCTACTTGTCCTTCAAGGCTCAGCTCAAATAGCATCTGCCTTGTGAAGCCTTTGAAGATTCTACCAGGCAGAGTATTTGAATCAACAAATGTACTAGCACAGAATTTTGTACATGCTCTAATATATACCATTAGACATCTGTGTGTCCTGCTATAACAGATTAGGACTAGAAGGCTGGGAATATGCTATTATTCCTAGTTTATAGTACAAAATCTGGTTCATAATACTAGTTTAAAAAATATATGTTTAGACCTCTAAGTGTTTAACTTATTAAATAGACCAAAGTATTTTTAAAAAATATTTCAGATTGCTTTACCTAAAATGGCTTAAAAAAAGTTTTTCTTTTTTTTTTTGCTTTGGTGTATTTGTTAATTACTTCAACTATCACTACATAAACTGTGCAATTATTTTCATTTGAATTTAGTAAAAATCCTGCAAAAAGATACTTTCAGTCTGAATATATACAAATACTCACTTCTATATTGGGCAGAGTTATTGTCACCTGTTCACCTTTGCCGACTTCAAGCTCACCTTCACAGGAAGTATCAATAGAAGCAGGTTTGAAGTCATCTAAAAATAGAGACAGATATGGATTTTTACAAAATGGAACAATAGCTGGGTACCTGGATATTAAAAATACGAACATGTTTCAGCGATAAGTCACTTTGCAACAGCCAGTAATTAAAATGGTTTTAGAAGAGTCTTCATATTACATATAAAATCTAATCTACTTTATTTCCATATGTATAATTCTGAGAAAAAAAGAAACAGCTAAACTCTAAAATAGTATTCCTCAAACCATGCTCCCTCTGAATCCTGTTTAGGTCAAGATAAACTAAACTAAGATGTTCCACTGCTAAAAAATACATAACGTCAGTGTTTTCACAATTTGGTTAAAAACTAGTACCGTAGAATGTTTTCAATTTTCAGGCTTTTCCTCCTGTAATTTTTCTTAAGCCATCTTGGGTATCTGTTATCACTTGTCTTCGGTCCCAGCAGAATACGTAATTAATGAATATATGGAAAACACATAGTCATGGGAAAACTTAAGGAAAACCAATCATTGAGCTAACAGTTTGAGTTTTTCATGAATCCTACCATTAAAGGATATGTAAATTTAACCAAATCTTCAGAAGAACTTAAAATGGGTTTTCATTTTGAATTAAATCATAATTCAAATGTTATTAAAATATATTATTCAGAAGGAATTTAAGGTGCTCAGATATTTCATATACTGAACAAGTTTATAAACCTCTAAGATATGGGAGCAACTTAAAAATAATTCACATGAATTCATATAAATGACTGATAATTCTGATATAGAACTCCTCGGGTAACATATATTTTTTCCAGGTTAACTCTTTATTAAAAGATACATGCAAGCTAGAACATGAGTCATAAGCTTGACGAATTTTCACAAAGTGACACATATGTAATCAGCAACAAGATCAAGAAGCAGAACATTATCAATCCCTAAAAGGCCTACCCCAATTACCCCTACCTCAAGAGACAGATCTTTATATTAACAGGGAAGCCAAAGACAAAAAGTCTAAATCCAAAGTACTGAACATTTATTAGAATTTAGGGAACTATAATAGGTAGATCTTGGGAAAAGAGAATATTCCAGTGTTCATCAAATTATCTTCTTCCTTTTCTTTTTTTTTTTTAAATTTTTTATTTTTTCAGCATAACAGTATTCATTATTTTTGCACCACACCAAGTGCTCCATGCAATCCGTGCCCTCTACAATACCCACCACCTGGATCCCCCAACTTCCCACCCCTGCCCCTTCAAAACCCTCAGATTGTTTTTCAGAGTCCATAGTCTCTCATGGTTCATCTCCCCTTCCAATTTCCCTCAACCCCCTTCTCCTCTCCATCTCCCCTTGTTCTCCATGCTATTTGTTATGCTCCACAAATAATTATCTTCTTTCAATAAACAAAAGCTGGCCCTGCTTCCCAATGGTAATTATAATCGCTAATATTTATGGAACACTTACTTCCTGCCAGGCATCTTGTTTAACACTTCATATTTAATTCTTATAACGACTCTAAGAAATGAAATCCATTCTTAACTTCCCTAAGCACATATGAATATAAACAATTCACACTAAATCTTCTTTATAATATGATTTATTCTTTATGCTGCCTTATTAAAAACTGAATACATGCAATATCTCTTAAAACCTTGATGCTTATTTCTAGATTTTAAGAAACAGATAAAAAAATAAAATAAGCAACATGGAAAATGTGAAAGAATTTGATTTACAGTGTATCCTTAAGTAGTACCACTGAGGATAAAGACTGAAAATAAATTGGGTAGTTAGTAGCAGTAAGGTAATGAGAAAGTTAAAAAATAATTTAGGTGTTAAGTTTTGGATGCTTAAAAGAAGTTCTAGAGAAATAAGTGTTAATATCAACTGACTAAAAGACAATAATATTTAAGAAAACAAATTAGAACTGAGACTTTAGTATCACAGGAATAAAGAGAAAGTAGAAAGCAGAAGGCAGGAAAATCCAAGAGAATAAACAAAGATACAAAAGTAAATATTAATAACAGCTATTACTTATACAATTACTTACATATTATTTTAAAATTTTCCCTAATTACTTTTATCTCAAAGATTCACAAAAATTCTTAAAGTAGTGAATATCCCTCTTACAGAGAAGGCAGAGGACGGTGGGAGAAATTAAGTCCCTTGCCCAAGATCATATAATTCATATTTGCTAAAGCTAGAATAAGGAACCATAAATTTAGTAGACTAAAAAGATAAGAGGTTAATCAACAACCTTTCTTATCAGCCTTATTTTTTTTAAAGATTTTATTTACTTACTAGAGAGAGAGAGAGGGAGAGAGAGCACACACATGAGTGCACACACAGGAGGGGGGACAGGTGCAGGGAGAGAGAGAAGGAGACTTCCCACTGAGTGGGGAGCCACACATGGGGCTCCATCCCAGGACCCCGGGATCATGACCTGACCCGAAGGCAGACACTTAACCAACTGAGCCACCCATGTGCCCCTGATTATTGATATCAATGTTTATGGAGAAAGAAGGTAAGCGCAATTTGAGCTAGTAAATATCATTTGAAACCTTATAGTGAAAACTTCATTTTGTAAGGATGTATACAGAATAAATGAAGTAAATACCACTTAAAATATTTTTGATATAAGTAATTTATCATCATGGCCTATAGGGGTACCCAGTAACAGCCTTTGTTTGTCTTAAAGTGTCCACAACCTTCTAATTTTAACTATCCTTCAAGGTTCTGCTCACCAGTGTATATATTCCTGTAAATGTTCCTCTATCTTCTTCATCACTCACATCTAATCACTATGTCTTTTTCCATAATATCTTTCAGAGCCATCTCCTTCTATTATTGCTGAGGGCAAACTAGTTTTCAATCAACAAAAAGCTAAACTATTAAAGTACGTATAGCTTGCCCATCTGCTTTTGTTTTTGGTCTTAGAATGTGAATTTTGTGGTGGGTATTAAGGAGGGCATGTACTGCATGGAGTACTGGAAGTGATACATAAACAATGAATCTTGGAACACTGAAAAAAATAAAATAAAAATAGGATGTTAAAAAAAAAAAAAAAAGAATGTGAGTCTTATTTCAAAGTCTCCTCCTCCCTGAAGTAGTCGCTGGGTGGAGCCCTTTCCTTACTCTCCAAAATATTCTTTTTTGGTGGGGGGGTCCACTTCTTAGCATTTACCATACCACTCATCAAAACCTAACATAAATGACATGGCATTATTTGCCTCTTCCTGTACATGTCCTTTTGGACTGTAATTATTTTAAAGCATAATGCCTCATACTTTTAATTCCTCCTGAATTATGGCTCCTAGCATAATGTCTTTAATATAATGGGAACATATGAGCTCTTTATAATTGACTCTGGTTGATATATTTATCCTTTTCTGAACTACCTCCAAGCTTATTTTAAGTATAAACTTATTTCAGCTAAATTATGTGCAAAAGGTTTGTTTTCTAATTGTTTCCTGAGGATCAGATTCATCTGTACTTCAAGACTCTCATTTCTTTCAGGTAGATACTACCATATTCCTTTTGTACTTTTCACTAGTACATTTCTGTTCTCATAGAGGGCACCCAAACTTAATATTTGACAAAAAAGAATTCTCTATGATATATAGGCAAAACAAAAATGACATCTTAGAGCAAAACCATGGTTCTCTGATCGCCCATATTTTTCTGACAGTGACACAAAGGACTATACTGGGAGATATGACTACATTTAACTACAGCTAAATAATGCTTTAGAGAAGAGGCCAGAAAGGTAACCCAAGGCAGTGAAGCAGACCACTGGGGAACCGCAGTGAATAAACCCAAACTCCAGAAGATAACCAGCGGCTGCCAAGAGGAATACAGGTTTGGTGTGGCCAGGTTATCTCTAATTTTTGAAAGAGAAGCTGGTCATCAGATTTCTGTATAAAATATCTTGATATTTACACATTTACAACAAATTTATGTTAAAACAACAACTGTGTGGGTGAAACAAAGAATCTCTACTGTCAAATTCAGCCAATAGGCTGTTAATCTATAACCTTTGTTATAGTGTTCAAATGCTGATTCTTTTTCTTTATATCATCACTTTTTTTAAGATCTTATTTAGTTATTTGACAGAGAGAGAGAAAGACAGCAAGAGAGGGAACACAAGCAAGGGGAGTGGAAGAGGGAGAAGTGGGACCCTCCTGCAGAGCCGGGAGCCTGATGTGGGGCTCCACGCTGATCCCAGGATCCTGGGATCATGACCTGAGCTGGAGGCAGACACTTAACAACTGAGCCACCCAGGCGCCCCAATATATCTTCACTTTTGATCTTCACAACAACTCTTTGAAGATTCTCACCCACATTTTACCAATAGGGAACTCCTCTAAAGTAATGAAGCCAGTAAAAAATCAAGTCAGGAACTCAAGCCACATACTCCATCCACTCATAAAATATAGCTTTTTTGACTGATATTCAGTTCTTAACTTTTGCATGTATTGGGGGGCTTGTTAGGAGGTGAGGAATAGTCATAAGTCCCTTTGGGAATCTGATGAAAATTATAGATCAGCTATAGATCTTCTCCACAGGAAAAAATATGCATGTGTGAACATACATATCAAGTACTGTGTAATTTCAAGAGATTCACAAGTCCCTGAAGTCTAAATGTCTATGGGACAACTACAAGAGACAGAAATGTATTCAAAATAGCTGTAGCTTTACTTAATGATAAGGATGAACTTATAAACAATAAATCAAAACTATTCTGAACCTATTTATATTTCTAATTATTTGCTGTTTGAGTAAGTTTTACTTTTTATTACTTTCTATATTAAGATTGTCTTTTATTTACTTTCAAACAAGTTTTTTTAAGTATACAACTTTTGAGTTTCAAGTGAACAAAGTATAGACCTAGAATTATAGAATTTGTTGAGTAATCTCATGTTTTCCATATGCTTCCAAACGCCAAATATATTTTCAAAGCTGCTATAATTCCAGACTACACAGTTTCTTTCTTTCAGTTCTCCTTAGTTTGGAAAACTCACCACTAATTTTACTATTTATTTATTCTCTGTAGATTTCCTTCATCTATGTTATTTCTTCTTTTTTTATAAGATTTATTTATCTATTTTAGAGAGAGAGAGTGAGAGGGTGCAGGAGGAGGGATAGGGGAAGGGGTGGAGGAGGAGTAGAGGGAGAGAGAAAATCTCTTGATTTCATGATGGGCTTGATTTCCTGATTCTGAGATCATGACCTGAGCCAAAATCAAGAGCCCGATGCATCACCAACTGAGCCACCCAGGTGCCCCTATTATTTTCTTCTTTATAGTGCAATTAATTATATTATGCATAGAGTAGAAAAACATTTCCTACTTTGAACTTAATGCTTTTTCAGTCAATGCTGATCACTTTTCTGACTATTTCAGCTGTAGTGTCATATAATGTCTATATCTCCATAAAAGAATCACGATTACTATCATAAATTTACTTCCTGGGATAAGAACTAATTCAACTAACTCCAAAACCCATACCCTTTCCAACATACAACATTGATCAGAGAACATTCATTGTAAATATAATTTTAATCCCATTTTCATTAGTGTACTTTCTAATGTTTGCTCACACCAAAACTTAATCACTTTTTGGGGAGTACTCCACTTGAAGCCTCAGACGATCTTCCTGTAGTCGCTGCCCATGAGTTCATCATTTCATGTCAGCAAAAAGTAGTGTCATTTACATACTTGGGAATTTCAATGTCTAGTTCCTTATCTAGATATAAATTGTAAAATTAGCATGAGCCCAAATTCAAAAGTTATTCTAGTGTGTGCTGTTATTCAAACTCTTCCACCCAGTGTAGTATCTGTTGCTAAACATTTAGCTTATCATTTACAGACCATCCCATGTCTTCCCTACCACATGCCAGACTGTATTTTTGATAGGTTTTATTGCTAAACCCTGGTAAATGCTTTTGTAAGTCTAAGTTAATTATATTCATCGGCATTCCTCATACACACATGGATATAACCCTTCAATAATAATAGTGACTACTTTATTCTCTACCATGCACCAACTACTGTGCTAGGTTGTTTATGCGATTTTATTTAATCCTTAAAAAATCTCTGAAATGTAGATATTATTGTTACCATTTTTGTACAAGAAAACTGAGGCTGAGGGTTTAGAGCATGTTCCAAAAGTTACATTACATACATAGGTGGTGGAGGCCAGAATTCATGTCCAGTTTTGTACAAAGCCTCAGCACATTAGACAGGCATAATTACCCCTGTACATAAACATAGAATATTATTTTCTCCCAGATTATACAGACTCAATCTAGTGTTTGTTATAAATTAGATCCACCTGAACGAAAGTAAGATGTCCTGTTCTATAGTTTCCATCCCTTACTCTGAGTCTTTAAGAGTGAGGATCATATGGTAAATGAACCTATCCTCGAGGATAATGATTGTTTTTATTCAAATAAATCTAGAAAGATTCTGCCTGCTTTAACAAGAATAAAACTGAGACTAAAACCTTTCTTATGTCTTCCACAGCACTAAGTGTATTCAAACATATGGGTTTATTGTGATTGTTATTCCTATGATTCTTTTGTCTATTTTTGTTGTTGTTTTTCTTCATTCTTGTAGATAGATCAACTGATTCTTGAGCTCTAAAGGCACAATTCCAGCATGTTGAAGCACTTGCAAGGAGGTTTTCAAAGGCTATTTTATATTCTTTTCATATAGGATTCATGTCCTTAAAAGAGAATATATACCCAAGTTATATGAAATTATAACAATCAAATGAATAAACTTTCATAATCTTAAACTTTATGATTTGAAAAATTATTAAAAAGGCTACTGCAAATCTGAGAAAGAAGAGGAGAGAGGAGATACTATTTGCAACAAAGGCATGGAGAAATCAGGTAAAAGCTATATCATACTTTTGGAAAATGGAACTGAAGGAGAGAAACTGCATAGCCAGCACCAACTGTCTCACTGTGGTTAATGTTAGATGACAAATATGGCAAAGCAGAAAAAACAAAGGATGGGGTGCCTGGGAGGCTCAGTCAGTTAGGCAGTTGAGTCTTGATCTCAGGGTTGTGGGGGAAAAAAACGAAGATGAAGATTGAAGATCTGTTGAAGATCACCTGTTAACAATTATCTACCCAGTTTATTCTACCAACTGGATGTTAATTTTGCTTAACAAAAGCCTTTTATAAAATGCAAATATATCCTTGGAGAGTTAAACCTATTGGTCTTTATACTTTTACCCTGAGTTACTATAACTAGATTGTCAATAACTTAACTATAAACTTTTAGAGTCTGTTGAGTTTTAAATTGGGTATTTTGATTTAAGCATAGAGCAGTTCAGAGTAAAAACCATGAAGATCTCTGATAGTCTAAGCACTGACAAAGGTAGAATGATGAGACACTCAGGAAGAACAAGGCAGGGAAAAGGAAGTGAAAAAATACCTACTTTACAATTTTGCCACATAAAAATAAGAGGTTATGATTCAAAGATCTTAAAGTTTCCTTTCTGCTCTATAATTCTGAGGGCTACTATGCAAAGAATGAAATGTTTTACATACCAAATCATAGTATGCTATATTTTTCCTTCCTGGAATCTATACCATCCAACATTAAAATAAAAGTTCCTTTTTTCTAACTCAAGATAACAGAGGGTAATTTATCAAAACTAGTTCCAGAGGACAATCAAAAGGAAAATCAAAGGGCAGTAAATAACTTTCTAAAAAAATGAATAACACATCCTCCAGTATTTTGATAATCAGTATTTGATCATTGTCTGAACGAAATTAGGGGTCAAAAGAGATACAGATTACTGGAATGGTTCAGAATATCTACCCAGGAACACACGAAACAAGAACTCTCAACAGCCAGAGACAGAAAAAGTGAAGAAAAGAGGGAATATTTCCCTATCAGCCTCAAGGCATTCCTTTCCTCCGCATAATAATAGTTCGGTACTTTGCACCCTTCCATCTGTCACCTTACTATTTCCCTGTCCATCGCTGCATCATCTACCCGTCACGTCTATCTCCACAGTCACCCCTGTAGGTCTCCTCCACAAAGTTTCCCTTTCTGCTTCTTGGTCTCACTCGAATCTCTCTGCCCAGGGTTTACCCACACCTGCTCAACTCCGGCTCCTTCCACGAAACCCCTGGGACTCCAGGCAGAGCAACGGATAGCGCTGGACACCCCAATCTCCAGCAGACTAAGGGGGTCTGTGGGAACACAACTCTGAGAGGTTTGTGCCTCCACACCCCCATATCCAGAATTCCCTCTTACTCCCGGGGACCGTCCTCACTCACAGCGTACGGTGTGGAAGGCGCAGCGCGGCTGCTTCTCAAAACTCTCGCCTAACTTGAGAACCCGCTCGCGACGGTCCATGTGCGAGAGTCCAGCCGCTCCATTCATCATTTTTCTCTGGCTGCGACTTTGCCTTGGCCACCTGCGCTCCCTCCCGTCTGCCACCTCATCCTGAAGCAGCTGCACTTGCCCTGGCCGGGGCAGCCGGCAGACTCCGCCCCGCGCCTGACGCGCGCAGCCCCCTGGGCTCCTCTCGCGTGCTGACTGGCTGCCCGGAGGGGACGCCCCGCCCCCTCGCTCCGAGGATCCTGGTCCCGCCGCCAGGCCCTTTCCCGCGTTGCGACGCACGCCGCCGCGAGAAGGCCGCGCAGCTGAGGTGCTTGGTGGGAGCAGGGTCTCCTGGAGGAGAACACGAAGAGAGGATGAGGTAACCCACCTGAGGTGGCGACTGGGGAAGGAGAGAATCTCGAGGTGCCGGGAAGCCAAGGCCACAGGGTTTCGGGGCCAAGCGTCCCGGCACATAGCCGCTCGTAGCGGGAGGATTTGCGCCCTTTCTGTGGAGATCTGTAGTAGAAACTGAGGCCCGGGGAGGGGCGAGAGCGGGGCACAAGGCCCGGTGTCTTGCCCAAGGCCTGGTACCGCCGAGGCTGGGTCTAGAATCCGGAGCGAAGGAGCTCGCGGCCTCGGAGTCTCGGACCTTGGATCTCACTGGAGGCGACGCCGTTACCTGGGCAATCGCCTTATGATCTTTTCCAGAGAAGTTCCCGGTGGTGTTAGGACCGGGACAGGGATCGGGGAGGAAGGGGAGAAAAGATTCGGAGTTAGAAATTACAGATTTCGGATCAGTTGCAACCAGATTGCATTAGGTAGCCTTCTTTTATTTATTTCCTTCACAGTGATTCTTGGAGGCAGTAACAGGCACGGGCAGGAAGTCGAGATTCCCAAAGGATCAAGGCCCAAGTTCCTGCTGTGGCAAAGGGTAATAGCATTAATAATTGAAAAATAATTGTCTTTTTTTTTTTCCTGTTTAAAGTTCACGAGTTTCATGGTAAAGATGAGGGAAGTGTTGTATTAGAGGAGAAGCATCCAACAAAAGTTTACAGATGGTTGTCGCAACCGATGGTTGTTTTTCAGGGTCAGTATGTAATCAAACTCTACTCCCATGTTTTCTTAGTTAAATTCATCTATTTATTGTTTTAGCCAAGTACATGCATATGTCTCCCTTACTCTATCTGCTTGTTTAAATTCTACTTTTTAAATAAGTATTAAGATTGTTTAGTGTGGTAATTAAATGCTCAGGTTCTGGAGCCAGAATTTTTGTATTTCAACCCCAGCTTCCTACTTTACAGTGTGACTTCATGCAAACTAAAATATGCCCTTCATTAAAATGGGGGGGGGGAATAATAGTGCTTACTCCTTAGAGTTGTTGAGAGGATTAATTGAATTAATACATGAAAGGATTTAAAACAATTCACAGCACATAGTAAAGTCTCTCCAAATGGTTGTCATTATTGACGTATAACTCCACTGTCTGGCAATATTTTAGAACCATCCTTGGTTTCTGCTTTCTTTTCTAAATCTTGAATTATTCTAAAAAGTAGGAATTACTATTTTGTTTACAGATAAGAAAACTGGTTGAGAGAAGCCCACTCGTCTGACCCTGTGGTTTGTTTTCTTATCATCTCTGTCATATATTTGGCACTTAAAGTATTTTATATAATTAAGTATTTTATTTTACACATGTGTATAAACATGCATGTATACTTTTTCTTTCCCAACCAGAACATGAACAACAGGGACTCTGTCCCATATAAAATTCTTATGACTGATGCATCTAACATAGTGCCCTACACACGTGTTTGGTGATAATAATGTTTCAGTGGTGTTTTATTATGTTAACTAGAGGGGAACCACAGTGTTTTAAGCCTATTTTACTTAAAAAAGACTTTCATTTAGAAATTTGAGGTTTATATATTATAATAAAAAAGAAAGCAGAGAGTCAAGAAATTGAGATACTACCTTACAGCAGTTAGAATGGCAAAAATTTACAAGGCAGGAAGCAACAAATGTTGGAGAGGATATGGAGAAAGGGGAACCCTCTTAAGCAGTTGCTGGGAATGCAAGTTGGTACAGCCACTTTGGAAAACAGTATGGAGGTTCCTCAAAAAGTTTAAAGTAGAGCTACTGTATGAGCCAGCAATTGCACTACAGGGTATTTACCCCAAAGATACAGTTGTAGTGAAAAGAAGGGGCATATGCACCCCCAATGTTTGTAGCAGCAATGTCCTCAATAGCCAAACTGTGGAAGGAGCTGAGATGTCCTTCCACAGGCAAATGGCTAAAGAAGATGTCCATATATACAATGGAATATTACTCAGCCATCAGAAAGGATAAATACCCACCATTTGCATTGACATGGATGGAACTGGAGGGGATTATGCTAAGTGAAATAAGTCACGCAGAGAAAGTTATATGGTTTCACTTACTTGTGGAACATAAGGAATAGCGTGGAGGAAATTAGGAGAAGGAAGGGAAAAATGAAGGCGCGTGGAATTAGAGGGGGAAACAAACCATGAGAGACTATGGACTACTGGAAACTGAGGGTTTCAGAGGAGAGAGGAGAGGGGAAATGGGATAGCCTGGTGATGGGTATTAAGGGGGGCACGTATTGCATGGAGCACTGGGTGTTATATACAATCATGGAACACTACATCAAAAACTAATGATGTACTGTATCGTGACTAACACAACATAATAATTAAAAAAAAGTGAGTTTTGAAATGCCTGTATAGCATGGAGCACTGGGTGTTATATACAAACAATGAATCATGAACATTATGTCAAAAACTAATGATGTACTCTATGGTGACTAACATAACATAATAATAAAAAAAAAAAAAAGTAAGTTTTGAAATGCCCAAAGTTTGTACTTTTATTCCCTGCTTCAGCTTATATTTATTAACTACCTACCAGATATATGTTAAGGCACTGGTCTAGCCCCTGGGTAAATGGCAGTGAATCAAGAGATAAGAAGGCAGCAACCAAGGGTGGTATGAGTTTTACCTACTGGTGTGAATTTTCACCAAACATGTATTAAAATGAACCAGGTTGTACCAGCCCTGGAATTTTAAAAAAAAAAAAAAAAATCAGATTAATGAATTAAATAGAGTTCAAAAATGTACCCAAGTGACATTTCAGATTGCTTTGTTTATATCATTCATGACATATTACTTCAGAAATTTATGATAGCTGTATGTGTTTGTTCTTTTCTACAAATCTATAACCTCATCTAACTTAATATAGTTAGGTTTCTGTCATACACCATTCACGAATAAGTGTGTATTGAAAATATAAAGATATAAGTGAATGAAGATAGCACTAAAACTAACCATAAAAACACCAGAAAAAATTAAGAGACTGTATTTTAGATTTTAAGGTAGGAAGAACCTTTCTAAGAATGTCACCAAGGTAGATGTCATAGAAGATTGTTACACTTGAGTATGTGGAAATTGTAAAACTGTGATAGAGACACTATATTTAAACTTAAATAAATGACAATGAAAAATTGTTTACAGGCAATATAAAAGGTAAAGGGCTCAGATCCATAACAAAAGCTGAAAGCTTCTACAGAAGAAGAAACCAATATATAAATTGTTGAAGGATATGAATAGAAACTATATAAAAGAAGAAGCAGACAATGAACATGAAATGTGCCTAATTGGTCTAATAATCAAAGCAATACAAATTAAAACAAGATGATGCCATTTTTCATCTAGCAGAAATGTAAAAGATAGCAGTATGTATTAAGGAAGGCTTAGTAAAATGAGCACCCTCATGTGTTGCTAGTGGAAATACAAATTGGAACACCCATTTGAACACCCATGTGGTTTAAATATATTTTGATGCACTCTTACAAAGGAAGCATAGCATAATGCAGCCACTGGAAAGAGTGAGATAACTGTATCTACTCTCTTGGAAAGATGTATGTCTACTATGCACCAGGAGTGACACCAGGAGCTGTGGTGGGCTTTCTTTGAAATATTTTCAGAAAATTTTTTTAAGATTTTATTTACCAAATTTTTTTGTGATTTATATTTTACTTAAAGGAGTAACATTTCGATGCTTGTATTATATCCAAGTCTTAGGTATAAAGGACAGTGGTGCCAGTGGTGAAGAATAATAGCTAAAAGTGAGTGAGTTAGAAGTGTCATTTGGGAATACATTTTGTGTTTTTTACTGTTTTACATGGAAGGGAGGATAATTAACATTGTAGCTAAAACCATAGACTTTGGAGTCAGACTGATCTGGATTTGAATACTGACTCCATCATATGCTGGTGGAATTCTGGTAAGTTTCTTCTTGAAGCTTTATTTTTCGTATTTGTAAAATGAGATGATTACAGGCTCTACCTCATACTTCTGTTGTGAAGATTTAATAAGATGATGTATATAAAAGCATTTAGCCCTGTACTTAATTCATGTAAGTAAATATAAGTAAAGATTGTACTTTTCATTAAATAATGATATCTTTGAGCTTTGAATGCCTTAAAATTTTTTTGTAAAGTTTTAACGAATTGGGATGCATTTTTTATTTAATTTTAAGATAATTTTATTTACTATGCTATTTGTAAACAAGCTTTTGTTATCTTGTAATTACATTTCATTTCTGAGTTGTGTGTTGGGGATCCCCAAGACCAACCCTAGATTCAGTGATTCACTGGGAAGGCTCACAGTTCTTAGGATATAGTCATATTTGTGGCTGTGATTTATCATAGTGAAAGGATACAAAGCAAAATTAACAAAGAGAAAAGGCAAATGGAACAAAATCCTGAGGAAGGTGCAAATTTCCAAGAATCCTCTCCTAGTGTATTACATAGGACACACTTAATACTTCCTATAATGAGTTCTGACATTTTGAAGTGTTGTCTACCAGAGAACCTCAGTAGAGACTAAGTCACAAAGGTCTTTATTGAAAGATGGTCATGTAGGTATCCTCTACTCCCAACTACTAGAATTTCAAACTTCTGGAAGGAAAGCAGACATTCTGCATAAGCCACATTGTTTACACAAACACTTCAAGCACAGTGAGCCACTCTTATTAGGGAATGATGGAAACCCTTCCAAAATCCAAGTTCCTAGGCACCAACCAGGGGCCAACCTTGTTTCAGGCCTATGTTGGCTCTTTTCTGTACTTCGTTTCTCTTTTGTG